TTATCACCATCATCATCATCAGAAACCAACCTATTAGTGCATATTGAAAATCAATTAGATTCACATTCAAGCAGCTTTCCATTGAATTTCTGCCGCTACGATTTGGAAGAATCGAGAAACACTATTACCAACCAATAAAAGTCTGTTCCAAATTCTAAATATAACAAGCCACTAAACAGGACAAAAACGGATCAAAAGTTACTGAGCAGATAAAAATATATGTTCTTACAGGCCTCCAAATGTTTTATTACATTTGAAAACTTGATTTATTTAATAACATAAAGCTATGTTTGCTTAAATTCACTCATCTAGGATCCGGGCCTATCTCTCCCAGAAAACACATACACATGCCAAATGTTCCCAGAGAAAAAAACACACAAGTGTGTGTGTGTGTGTGTGTGTCTGTGTGTGTGTGTGTGCACAGACGCACACACAGAAACCCCTTCCTGTTTTCAAAGTGTTTGGAAACTCAATCAAAGACACAAGGTTTGGGATTTACATCTGTGTCCTTTTATGTCTGTGGCCTCGCAGGAAAGAACCATCTCAGCCCAGCTGCAGCAAAGAGCTCACAACAAGGCCCAGCCTTCATGCTCCCGCATGCAGCACAACTGAAAACAATATCCACAATTCAGACACTTAGTGCTAAAAGCACATCTTAGAGGCATTGAGATATGGTCTGTGAACATCAGAGGCCCTTCTTGACAAAGAAATAAAGACAAGCCCTGCTATCTGGATGTTGTGATGGAGACAAAATCAGCAAGTTTTTTAGTGTAGGCTTCACAGCACAAAGCATCCACACCAGGTCTTTGCCTTACAAATAAGAACATTTGTTTGAAATACGCTCTAAATACACTGCTGACATTTACGCCAGTTTATGCTTGCTCCTAAAATACTTGAAGAGGAAATGAAAATTATAAAGAGGGAAGTGGCTCGGGTTTAAAATACACAGAATCCAGGCCTAAATCTGGCCATGGGAATGGAACAGTCCACCACTATACAAGGCCTGTTCAGTTTGTTGGCTTGTCTAAGTTACAGACAGTCCAAGCCCTCTGGTTATACAGAGGATCATTGTCATTAATCACACAAACAATATGACAGCGTCTAATAGAACAAGCAGACAGTGGGGCATAAATATTCTGTACGCAAAATAACTTTCACGATTATGAAACTTTTCCCTCCTACATGAATAAGGTGAAACAGACAGATTTAATGTTAGGACACTTTCTACAATATATGTATATCTTTAGACATACGCCTACATTTAATAATACATGATAACATGCCTAGCAACCACCAAAATAAAACGCTGTTACAAAGTGCCCTTATGTATATTTGTCAAATAACACACTTCATGGGTCTCTGTAAACCACTCTAGTCACAAGCAACACTTCCCCAAAAGAATACAGAAGCAAAACTAAAGATGTGTTCAGCTCAGCAGACTTCGTCAAAGGTAAGATACATCTGTAGCTTGGACTAGTTCAGCTAGTAAAACTAAGTGTTCATGGAGGTCACATCCAACAACTGGCAATAACCCCAAATAAGACTATAAAAAAAAAAAGGTCCAGGAAATTATTTAGCTTAACATAAGGGCCACAGGATATAGGCAATTACTCAGGCCATAAAGCACTAACCCTAACAGCTGAAGTAGCTGTCTCCCTTTGTCGTTTTAGGACATGATGGGGGTTGTTTAGGAGGAATGTGTTTGGAAAGCTCTGCAACAGGAATGGGAGTGCAAAACAGCCCTCAGGTGATAAGATCACGACACCCACATTGGCAGATAAAACGCTGAGCTGTCAAATCAATCACACAGATAGGAAGAGGACACAGAGAAAGGAATCACTGAGGATCACCTGACTGGCAACAGACAATACCACAGAACCGCAGGAATCTAAAACAATGAGGCCATACCTATGTTCAGCAGAATATAGAGGCTACTGACCTTCGCTGATAAAAATGGATGAGGGATTCATGTGATTCATTTTAGCAAACGTCTATATCGAAAATCTACATTATCACCTGTTTGATTTTTCTCATTTTCTTATAATACAGACTTGGGGAGAACAAATAGGCCTCCATGTATCTAACTGTAACTATGTATGTATTTCATGTTTTTGAAAAGAAACTTCCAGTCTAGAAACCAGACATGTTAAACTGGAGCTTAGCAGGGCATAAGATGTAATGTGTAAAAACAAGCTGTTCACGTGTAAACAATGACTATGTAAAAAATAATACCTACAGTACACAGATAAAGCTACCAGTACAGAGCACCTCAACAGACTACTGCCTTTGTTCAAATAAATATTTTAGATAAACGTGACATTCAGCAGAGAGGCTGCTTGCACACACTTTCATAAATCTCCCACTTCTCCCAGCATGTCCATAGTCGTTGTCTACAAAACTCTTACATCATACCACACTCTCCACACCAACACACATCGCAGAGCAGATGCAAACCAAAATCTGACAGGGCTTAATGTGCCTTCTTGTCATTTCAGCCTTGTGAACATAGTTGCACCGAGGCCAAGTAACATGTTCTCAGCATAGGGTGTGCTGTGTGTACACCAGCTTGGCTTACCACCCATCATTCAGACAAAACCACTTCAGGACTATGTCCTCGCACATTTTTAGAGAGATTTTTCGACTCAAATGTTAACAATGAGGGCTGCAGGAGAACAAACACGCTTTTCCCCCTTAATTACGCTCGAAAACATAAGTATAAAGTTAAAAGATAACCAAGATTTACACTAACATTTCTTTTTAGGATTTAGCAAGTGACTCATCAAAGATTTGAATGTATCTTATCAGGGGAAGAGAGCACAATGTCACAATGTAAAAAGGGACACAAAAGTGTGAAGAACATTTTGATTATTCTAATTATTATCACTGATGCTAAAAGAAATTAAACCATTTTTGTCTGAAAAGCTGTGTCATTATAAAGAGAATATTAAAGGTGACTCTCTTGAGCAAAAATAAATGGCTCAGGCAACGCTCAGTATTCTGTTCACTCCATTACTATGAATCAAACAACAGCCGGAAAGGTGGTGGAATCATAGCAACAATGCTTGGATCACCTCGCCATCTTAGCTGCTGCCATCATGCAGTGTGGAACAAACCCAGCATGTACTGTAGATTGCACACCCACTGATGATATGTTAGCCTATGGCAGTAGTTCCCAAAGTGGGACCTGGGGGGGGGTCTTTGAGGAGTCCCTGGGGTTATTGCAGGGAGTCCCATCATATATGGTTTAACTGTAATTTCTCTCACTATAGGTCAACACTTTAAAATAAATGTATTCAGATGAGAGGTTTTCAGAGGTTTCATCCCACTAGCATCAAACGTGCTAGGTTATTCCACAATTTAAGCTAAATCATGATTACTTGTTAAAGAATCTGCTCAGATAAATGTCCCTAAAACAAGATATAGTCAACTGAGGGCGAGCGGTTTAGTTGTAATGTATTCGGTGTGGCTTGGTATGAGGAAAAAGAACTCCATGGCATATGTTACATAAAAAAAACAAACAAAAAAAAAAACAGAAGTGTAGTTCAAGGACAAAGCCTCCATGCATTAAATCAATCACCCTCATAAAAGGCCTAATAGATGGAAAGGGGAAAAACATAAATGTGTTTCGAACATCAAACCATGACACTGTAAATTGCTGAAAGGGGCATATGACTTCCTCTGTGACAAATACATTATGAAAGAAAAATCCTTTGAGACAGTGAAGAAGCGTCGCTTAAACAACACATGCGCGATCGCTTATGTGACATAAAGGATTAATAGACGAGCATTCAGTGTTGAGGTGCGATGCATTTTGTACAGTAAATGCAGGAAATGTGATCGTTGTGTGATCGTCGGTGCAATGCGAAACAGTGTACAGTGCTGTGAATGGGCAGGCAGGTACTTTATGAATGGAGGGGATCATGTGACCGCAGCACCTCCCGAAGCAGATATTTCTCACTGACTGTCAACAAGCGCACACAAGGGATCAGCCCATTAAAACAATACCAAAATGAGACTCGAAATGGGCGCGACGTGCACAAGAACACTTCATGTACAGATTACAATGGATGCCCGTGGGTTGTGGGGATTGGGGCGTGCGTGTGACGCCTTTTTTTAAGCGTTTTTATGAATGGAGATTGTGATATGTAAATGAGTGTGATTGAGAAAAAAAAGGCATCTTCAGCTTTTCAATGCTGACATTGCCGCAATCGACTGGAAGGGCTTTTTCGTTTTTGTTTTTTTTTAGAAAGCCTGGATTGAAATACAAAACATGATCTGCACGATTTTAATCGATGATAATGTCCCGAAATCATGGCGGACAACAGTTACATACAGATCCAGACTGTCAATACAAACGCTTTCTCGCCACGATGTGCTGAACAGTCGATGTACATGAAATCATATTTAGACTGGATTATTGCCGTGTACATGTCTACAACGACTGATCCCTCATAAACTGCCTTATAACTGCCAATCTATAAAGCAATAATACATATCCAGGGCATGTAATTGTCCTGTTAAAACAACATACACGCAGTCAACCACTGATACACCTACACATGCTGTGGCCTCATATGAATTCTCACAGCATACATTATTAGTTGCTTCATAAAAAGCGAAAATTATTAAGAATGAATTGGATTTTCTTTTTTTTTATTATGGGGGGCGGGGGGGTGTATGCGATCGCTTGTCAGACACTGTGTTTTATATACACTCGTAAGGTAATACATGTCTAATATGCTCCAAAACTAACCAAACAACAACAACAAAAAGAAGAATAGAAGATGTGTGAGTCCTATTGTTGATACAGAGAAAGTAAGGTGATAAAATAGCAGCGTCGCTCGGTTAGAAATGTCACTGGGAACTGGTAGCTCATCGAGTTAATATCTAAAGATATGCAAGTTACATATTATTGCAGCTGTGTGGTGGTACATGTAAAGGGATTTTTTATTTTAAATTCTTCATTTTTTTTTTTAAAACAATGTATACACAGTACTCACTCGTTGTTTGGATTTGTTGAATCTTCACTCATTTTCTTCCTCACGGGGATCCAAATCCTAGCAATAGCATCGACGACGCAGTGACGGCGGGATAAAATACCACAAATATCACCATTTTCCTTCACATATAGAAATTACCCCTATTTTGGAGAGTGAGTGAGCGGTGTTCAAATGGGGCATGCCTAACTTAAGCGTCCCTGTGAGAACCAAGTGGAGCTAGCTTAACGTTAGCTTTACTGGCTCGGAACTAACGTTAAATCGCGAGGAGGAATGACAACCGTTGATTCATTTTATCCTCCCTGGAAGTAAAATCCGACCACAACAAATGGGCCATCGGCATCATCTTCTTCAACGCACACGGCTCCCCGGTTTGCAAGAATGTGTATAGATCCTCAAAAAATGTAGAAAGTGTAGTAGACTGTAGCGTTTGGCAGGTTATTTATGGCTGGCTGTCGAGCATCCATTCGCCAACTTCAGGTCCAGGACAACACTTGAAAAAGCGCTGTGGAGCGGTGCTCCGTCAACGTGTCCGAGTAATCTGCAGTAAAGGCATCCAAAAGCCGAAAAAAAAGGGTTAAACTGTTTTTCAATATTAATACTGACGCGTAAAGTAAAAGCATCTACACTTGAAATTTCCTCTAGAAGTTGGTGGACATCTGCTTTAATCGAACTCCATTTTCAACTCGGGGGGAATGAAACATCGGAAAACTGGGCGGATGTGTAGACCCTCGCTTGAGAAGAGAAAATTTTATCCTTCCGCGACGTAGTAAAAACATAACACTCTTGCGATAAAATAAGCGCCGCCAGCACGCAGTTTAATCTATCTCGTTAAAGAGTAGCGCATATTGTGGTAAAATGCGCTCCCGTGTAGGCGTGTGCGGTAAATTAGGAGTGTTTCTCTCCAAAGTTGACCGAAAGTAGTCCCCGCACTTCCCAAAAGAAGTTTCCCTTCAATCACGCATTGATACAAGAGGGAAGCGTCTGTGTGATAGCACGCAAAGTAGAAAATAATCTGGAGGAAGGACTTGGGTTGACACACACACACACACACACACACACACACACACACACACTCGGCCATTAACAATTTCTGTTGTTTTCTTTCATTAAGCAGCTTCACCGTGACCGCCCCCGAACCACTTTTTTTTTATTTTTTTTATCTTAATGTGAAATTGTGTGTGTGTGTGTGTGGGGGGGGATGCTTTAAATGTACACAGCATCAACCGCTGCAGCACGTGGAATTACATTAGATCCCCTTCATGATTTATGTGGCTAAAGCCAAGATAGTATTTCAATATCAGGGCTTTTATAATACCGTTATAATACATACATTCATAGCTTCAAGTGAAAGGCTGAGACAATTCATAAAATTAGGATATTTTATGGAACACAACTAAAATCTATTCTGAGGGTTAGTTTGCAATGGCAGATTGTGGTATTGTTTCAGTAATGCAATATCGTATAATGGTAAATAAAAAATGAGACATGGGTTGAACCTCTACCACTACCAAGCCACCAACAGGGGTTTTTGAGCTTGCAAAATTGGTTGAGAAGGGCGAACTAAAATACACACAAGGAGATACAGTCATATAGTTAAAGCTGCCCCACCTTGCACCCCAAACTCTCTCCATGCATCTGGAGCACCCTCCAAAATAAAAAACGGCAACTAGAAGTAACCAGAAAAATCCATGAGTGCACCTATGAATCTTATTTGCAAATGTGTTAAAAGCCTTGCAGTGCGAATCGGTGGCCTGGTTGCGTAAGACTTAAATGCTATTGGATTTCTGTGCTGTGTGGAATGGCAAGAGATCAGGCTAAATGATTCTGCCTGGTTGTCATAGTGACAGCATGTTGTGTGAGAAGTTTCTTTGTATTTCTCTGGCTTTCATACAGCTTGTGCCACAGCCTTATGTTGCAGAGCATATAAAACATCCCTCTGTGTCACTGTATATAGATAGGACTCTCACATGTGCAGCCCTGACACATATTGTACACTTCCTTTGGTATTTGATTAGATATTTTTGTCCTGATGACTGCCTGAGAGCAAAGGTGAATTGTCCCTTGGGATTGTTTTCTCACCAGAAATGCAGATGTCAGCCTGATATGAATGTTATGTGCACTCATTTACACAATGTCTCACATTGGGTAATCAAGTTACAGACGACCATCACTGTCTGCATTTTACTAAATGTGGCCTCTTGTCTTCACTTCTTCCTTTTCGAATTAGGTTACCACTGTCATCAAGCTTACAAGCCCAAATAAAGTGTCCCTTGTTTGAAATAGAGCAGAAAAAAAGCAATGACCATGAATTTTCCCACTAGCATGCTTGTATCCTTTAGAGTATTCTGAGTTCAGGAAGTCAGCCTTCTTTCTCATCTCACAAATGTGGATGGCCTTAGTGCATTTCCGGTGTTTTTCACACACTGAACACAACACACTGTGGTGTACTTAAACAAGGCAACAGGATGTTTAGCTAACAGAGACATCCCTTGGCTTCCCTCACTAAGCGCAATCAGAGTCATCCCAATTCTCTTTAAGACGGTAAACAAGCTAACATTCCTATATTGCCAACAAGCAGCCGCAAAATAAAGGATGTGTTTAGCTCGACTCAAACCTCATTCGGCTGAGTCCAACACAAACAGAACCTTACTTGACTTTCAGGAAGCTGGCTGGAGTGATTTGCAGATTGTAGTCTAATTTTGGTCATGTTTCTGGATTTGTTTGTAATTACCTTAGCACTGACACTCGTTCTACAAACATATGTGCCATTTTCTTGGATTGACCAGTTATTCTACATATGAACTTGAGCGCTTTAATTTCTTGAGATATGAGTTAACACCCAAAATGCATGAATGAAAGCCGGTTTGTGTAGGTGTGCGGTAATGCTCATTGTGAGTGGCTGCTTGCAAATACTAAACAGAATTTGAATGAAACTGAATTGATAAATTGAGCATTCACAGATGAACTTGATAGTGTGAATTGAAAATTCCCATAAATAAAAAAACATCCCTCCATGGCCACTTTTATTCAAAATAGCATGGGCGATTCATTCCTATTATTGGACCATGATGACTAGAATCAGATGACGACCTCAAAACACAGGTGATGTGATCACCAGCTCAGGCAGGCTCTGGTCACAAGAGAGGAGAAGTGAAGGCCTCTCTTTGTACAGCAACTATGGAAAGGAAATTCAGTGTCTGTGTAGTTGCCGCCATACAGTCTGCAGAGACCTCAGGGCTTCTAGTGAGAAAGACCGGAGATGGCTGATGACAGCTCTTGGTAAATAACCTAATCTCAGGATTCTCTGCCCTATATTTGTTGTACCTCCCAGCTTTCTCTCAATCAGTTACTTTTAAAAACACCTTTAGGTTAACTTTCGTCGATGTGTGGACTTTCCTGAGCAGTTAAATGCTATTTCTTTCCATTCTTTCAAAACACACACCTGTAGAGTTTCTTTGGTTTGTCTGCGGGACCCCTCAGACAACGACAGTGGACTCAAGGCAGTCTGGGCCAAGAGGTGTGGCTTAAACAGGAGGTGCTGATTTTTAAAGGCCTGGCAGCTGAACACATCAATGCATACCTATGATTAGTGTGGGCCTGGCCTCGGAAGCCTGCAACTTTTCGGCACGCTAATTGTAGGGTGGTGAGCAGAAAAGGTGTAGTGGCTAGAGGGGAAGGAAGTGTGAGGGCCTTCAGGCATGTTTGACTCTGTGCTGTGTGCTAGCTCTTGCCCTTGTCTCTCTCTCTCTCTCTCTCTCTCTCTCTCTCTCTCTCTCTCTTTCTCCCTTTCTGTGTGTATATGTATATGACCAATGTGGAACTAAAGATGCAAACATTTATTGTATTGCTTAATCGTCCTCAGAATACTGGTTGAGAAATCTTTGATGTTATTTAAGCAGCATGAAGGGATTTTCCTTTTCAAGATTTTGTTTCAAGAATGTCTTAGAAGAGAGATGGATGTGGATAACTAGATGAGTGTGTCAAGCTTAAAGAGTCTGTCTCGTGACCATGCACAAGGATGTTGGTTCAGATGGAAGGTCATTATGGCTGCAAAGCCCTTGATGGAAACACATTTCTGGGATTGTCTAAGTTCTGTAAATGGTTAGAATTTGAACTATGTGAGCATCCATAAAAACACACTCCAGTGGAGGGAAAGTTGTGTGCTTATGCTGAGAATGAACAGAAACTAAAAGTGTAGCACTGTACTTTAAGGTGAAGTTTTATACTGTATTATATAGCTTCTATATATTATACATTACATGTCATGAGGGTGTTCAGATTTGCTTGTAGGATTGAAACTTGGCTTCATTACAGTTAACACTCAAGATCTGCTTTACAGTAAATTTGTACCAGTCGCTAACCTCTCAACTACAGAAATGGGAAACTAAATTGGTTTCAGCCGCAGTTAGCTTTTTTCAGTGCTCGAGACTCTGTTACTTCCTATTGTTTGCATGTTGTGCGTGGGCTTGATTGAAACCTGATCTAGCCGGGGAAGCTGTGTTTAGGGTGAGGTGGACAGGCCTTTGTTGCTGCCTGAGGGGTGTTTATTTGGGCGGCTTCAGTTGGCTTCCCTGTAATCATCATCCAGCCCCACAGGATAGAAGGGATTAATGAATATGTTGGAGGGGAAGTTACAGATGACTATTTACCATTCTCATGGGGATGAGAAAGAACAGCATGAGAGACGCAGGGGAAGAAGAAGTTTGCATGTGTGTGTGTGTGTGTGTGTGTGTGTGTGTGTGTGTGTGTGTGTGTTTGTGCGTAGGCACGTGCATGCTTGTGCAGTTGTGTGTGCATTTATGTATAAAAGAAAGAGGAGCAAGAAAAGAGCTCATATTAGTCTTTTTATTACAATAAACTTAAAGGAATAGTTGACATTTTGAGAAATACTCTTACTTGCCGAGAGTTGTTCTGTCAGTAGCCTGTTAGCTTAGCTTAGCACAAAGACTGGAAACAGGGGGAAACAACTAGCATGTCCTAAAAGATAGCCTATAGTCACATAACACCCGGGTACAATCCATATGTTGTCATACTGTTCAGTTTTTGTACGAATTAAAAAAACGTGACAAAAAGTGTTTATAAGTGATCTTTACAGGTGCTGGTAAGGACATTTAGTTAATTTTGGACGGTTTCCACCATTTTCCATCTGTGTGCTAAGCTGCTGCTAAGCGACTTAAGGGGCTGCTGGCTCCTTACTGTACAGAAATGAGAGTGGTATCGATCCTCTCATCTAAGTCTCGGCAATGAGGCAAATAAGTGTTTTTCCCAAAATGTCAGACTATTCCTTAGTAATACTCTTTAAATATACAGTTACAGAGTTAGTTTGACTCATTGCACCATGTTATTAATTCATTTTTTGCTGTTCGACACCGCAAATGTGGATCTACGATAGAGGCTGTAATGTTTTTTCTGTGAAATAAGATGAAAAGTGAACGATTAATTTCACTGTGTCGTTTTCACTGCAATGTTTCCATTCTGCATCAAACGAGAAGGAATCAATGACTGTGAAAACTCTGAGTCAGACATGACTCCTCATATTACTCTTCGAAACAGTGTTCAGATGTCTCTCCTGTTCCCAAAACATCCTTTCACTCAAAACTACCTACACGCACATACACACATTTTTCTATGAAAATCTAGTAACAATAAGCCCCCCCTCGTCAGCTGTGTAGCCCCCATCCCCATCCCTCTCTTTCTCTCCCCTATGGCCTCCTCCACTTAATCCTCCCGCTCATCTGGGAACCACCAGCACCCCTCCATGAAGAGACGCATTGTGCCCAGATTATTTGATTGTTTTCAGATGTTGAAGCTTTCCTACACAAAAGGGGAAGAACAGGGTTTGTCCAAAAGCCCTAGGCTACTTGGCCAATGGACGGACACACAGGGAGGGGGGGGAGAGAGGGCTCGGCGCGGGGCTCAGGGAGCGGACACACGAGTCAGGAAGTGACCCCTGCAATGCCAGATTACAAACAATGT